GGAAAGCAGGTCACTAAGGTGTCATTGTTCAGGGGTGGGGTGGAGGAGCTACAGAGGAAGTTAGACAGCGATTCAAAAATAATCAACATTGGCATCGAGCCAGTAATAAGGCCTTGATACCTTGTGGCCTGAAGGGAGAGGAGAACCTAGTCAATCGCTGACAGTTTTACACTAATCTTCTCCTTGCACTATCTAATTTGTCTTGATTCAAAAGTAGATTTGATTGCAATTGCAATAGTTGTATTTATTCTCTGAGGCCAGGGAGACCAGCCAACTAGAACCTTTGTTATCTCCTCTAGGGAAGGCCGCATTTGGTGACAAGTAAGTCTTAGAAAAGCCTCTCTCCCCACTCCCTCTCATTTTGGGTCCCTGGCAAAATATTGCATTAAGTGAACTCACTCTTCATGTTTTCCCTGGTCTCTCTTACCCTTGCCCCAGTCCTGTCACTTGAGGCTTATGCTCTTAGAGTAGACACCTGGTGAATTCACATCCTGTTGTTGATGGCTTCAAGATGCTGTTGCTTCAAGATGGCTTCAAGAATACTCCTAGAGTATTCTAAGGGGACTTTAGGCCTAGCATAATACCTGATCCAAAGGAACCCATCTCTAATGGTGAATTTTTGGCCCTGGGGCAACCACATAAAGGAGAAATTGTTCTCATTGGTTTTGTTTTTCCAGGGTCACTCAGTGGCCCTGATGACAGAATCCCAATTCTTTCAGGCCTGGAACTGAAGTTCTGCCTATTTCACTATAAACAAGGCTGGTCATAGGCATAGGACACATCTTTGGGGTTTTTAAATTTATTTATTTTCATTTAATTTATTTTTTACATTTTTTGTGACTTGTATTAAAGAAGAAATTTTCCAGGGAAGCGGTACCTCAAGGAACTCTTTCTTCAAGACCCAAATGTCATGAAAGGATCTTCCCACTTCTGACCATGGCTATTGGTGGTGTAAATGTTGGAGACTTTGTGCTTTTATGCTGAGATGACTGTTTTCCTGATGACCTTGTAGGGTAAGAGCTCATCCTACAAGTGAACGCGGTCTTCCCTGCAGGGTACCTGGCCCGGAAGTCACCCCTGAGAAGAGGCAGATCCTCAGACAAGAGACCCGAGTCTGGAAGTCCGGGATTTCTGCACCTGTCTGGGCTTCAGTTTTGTGAATTTGGACTTCAAGGAATTGGAGAGAATTTCAGGGCCTTCTACTCCATTGTGTTAGTTTTCCTATTCAACTGAGACTTTTCCATGACATTTGGACTTTCTGTTTCCTCAGGAGCTTTCTCCTTTAATCCTGGGACTGCTCAGTCAGAAATTACAACCCAGCCCCGGGAAAAGATGATTTGAGAGGGGGCGTGAGGAATCACGGGTGGGCCAGGTGTCCAAGGCTGTTCAGTCTGGGACTGTAATATGAACTTGTTTCATCCGGTGCTGCCTCAGGAGATACTTAGCCCCTCTCATTTCTTTCAGCATCACAAATGGCTTTCCCCGAACACCCAGAAGCCTCCCTGTTGAAGTGTCCCCAGTCTGCCTTCACGTTACAGCGTGGGCCCCACTGAATGCGCACGAGCTTTCGTGGTGGCTTATCGCACACACATTTCTAACCCTTGACTCCGGTCTCTTCTCATTTCACTGGGAGAGGCTTCTAAGGAACAGGCCCAATTCTTTCAGGCCTTGTACCAAGCATTTTCTACTTTAATCCCTGTTCCAGGGCTGGTTTGTTTTTTTTTTTTAAGATTTTATTTATTTATTTTTAGAGAGGGAAGGGAGGGAGTTAGAGAGAGAGAGAGAGATAGAGAGAGAGAGAGAAACATCAATGTGCAGTTGCTGGGGGTTATGGCCTGCAACCCAGGAATGTACCCTGGCTGGGAATCGAACCTGGGACACTTTGGTTCCCAGCCCACGCTCAATCCACTGAGCTATGCCAGCCAGGGCTTCAGGGCTGTTTTAAGTAGGAACCCTACCAGGATACAGTGTGTCTGTGTATTTGTTCATCATCTCCTTTCCCTGAGTATGACTCTCTCCTTTAAAAAAAAAATCTCACCAGTTCCCTCAGGTTCCTTTTGGGTCCTCCTCTTCTAGAAAGCTACCCCAAGTCTCTCCCTCCCCAGCACTCAAAGCACTTTCCCCTCAGTGATCTTCTGGCAATGAATCACACACTCACCTCACTGATGACCTAATCCAATAGCTATTTTATGGTGCAGGTAATGCCCACCGCACCTACTCAGCCTTGCTAATTTTGATGCAAGGCAGAAAACTCCATCTGCGCAGTAAGTCTCTGGGATATTAACTCTCTTCTGTGTAGTGGTTTTGATTTGGGCAGATGTTTTTTTATCTATCACCCATGTCAATATTCTTTCCATGAAAGAAATCTGGCTGACCTTCAAAGGATGAAGATTACAGACCTCCCTGGGAAGCCAATATAAGTGAATTCATGATCAGATTTTTTTTTTAAGTAAAAATGGAAGATAATTAAATACAGTGTAGTTGTAAAACAGATTTCATTGTGTTCTACATCACTTCATAAAATAAATATAGTTTCCATTCTTCCATATGACTTCTTTTGTAGCATTTTTATCACAGAATGACTCCCTGAAAACTCAAGTAAGAAACGTCAGGCCTACTTCTTAAGTACTTGCTCTAAAAATGAGGTGAAAATTAAACATTCTGAGATGGAAGGCTGGTTGGATGAAATGCTGTGCCATCGGACTAAAGCATGGCATTCCAGGTATTGTCAGATGAAACAAACATGCAAAAAAAAAAAAATCTGCTGGGGAGACCATCCTCTACCTTGGACAACAAATGTATTGCTTAGCCAGACTGATCAGTTAGGGTGAATATAGTTTTGAGTACTGTGACATTCTTGAGTCCTGTACAACCAAACAGAAGTCTACCCATCTGAGTCAATGGGAGCTTATCATTAGGCATCTGAAAATTTCATCTTTTGCTGGATCTGACCCGAAAGTATAGGAAGACACACAGGGCAGCAGCCAGTAACCCTGTTTCTACAGCTTATTGACTTAGAACAAAATAACAGTCATTCATTTGTATTAGTCTGGTGGGCTAATTCTAAAGTCTGAGAATTTATTGGAACTATTAAATTTGGGACCAGGCTGGTAACATAATTTCCAAAGGAGGAACTCTTATTAGTGTAAAACGATCATGTTTATTCACTCTATTGTTTATTTCCCAGTAAAACTGATTCTCTCCAGGTTCCATATTAGGAGGATCAGAACCATCATCTAATATGTCATGTTATTTTGTCTCTTTCAAGTTAATTCACAGACTCATGGATTTCCGCCAGTCCATGATTTCAAATGTTTTGTGGAAAGACTTGAGGAGAAGATGGTACATTTCAGAAACATAAAAAAGGAATAGACTGTTTCTGGAGCCCTGGGTTCTTTCTGGCTCAATCACATCAGGTTTTGTTGTTGACAGTGACTTTGATTCACTGAAATGTGATAATCAGTGACATTATACCTGTGAAGTACTCTGATGTTTAATCTTTTTAAGCAGATAGTTTCAGGCAGAAATATTTTGTCCTTTGTCCTTTAAGTCTGCCCAGGGATAGCCACCCACAAGAACCCTGCCAGCTACAATGCAAAGTCTCTACTCTCACAGATTGCATGGGTCACAGGTGGCTTGCCATTCCGAGTTTGCAGATAAAGTGCATCTTGATAAATTGTTAAAAGTAGAGTGATCACAGGCTGAGAGCACCAATTCAGCTCTCAGCAGGTGCCAGTCAAAAGTGCCTTTTTGCAGGAGAAAGCCACCACCAGCCAGCTCTGCACCTGCTCCCCAGAAGAGGGGCCAGGTATTAGAAGGGATGCCACAGAACAGACTCAACAAAATCACGCGTAAGCTGGATGTGGCTTTGTGTCCTCTGTAATAGGGGCATGTTTGTTGCCATCTCAACTCTACCTAACCTTATGGTGCAGACTTTTTGTGTGAAAGGGCTCAGGGGAGCCCTACTTAATGGCTAAGAACCTGCGAGGATGCATTATCACCCGAATTCTATTGAGCAAACCCAACCCTGGCAGAACTGTTCTCCACATGTCACAGAGGGAGCAGAGAAAAGGCAGATATTTCTCATCATTTCACCCAAGAGTTCAATCTTTTCCTTGAGGTCATGCTGCAAATGAAAAGTTAAATGAGAGAATGAATATAATTAAGATGGGGGACATGTTGAAAGAGTCTGGCAAAAAATGAGATACACCAGAGTCTTCTTATTCACCAGATTTAGAAGTGGCTGGGAAGTCTGTTTGTAAGCTGTGAGGGGGGTGTGCTCGACAGAAAAAGAGCACTGGGAAATTGTGGGATAGAAATACCACCAGGAAATGAAGGCAGGCACTCAGTGCTCTGAAGGAACTGGTTTCCTCTTCTATGTAGTCGTCCTGACTTCCGTTCACTCGCGGTTCAAAGGTTACTGCAAATGAACAATTACAACTTCAAACCTGCTGAGGGAATCATTGAGGTATTTGGGAGAGGAAGTCATTTCAGGGCTATGTTTTAAGGATAAATGAAAGTTATTGTGTGCAAGTTTTTGTCTTCGAGGGGAGAGGGGTGGTTAACAAGGTGATGGGAATGTGTGTGTGCATTTCCTCTTCCTGTTTCCTTAACTGACACTCTCAGGGAATCTCTGGCTGCTTGGGGGGCAGGCGCTCTCTGTTGCCCTCCTTTAGCCTCTTAATCATGTCTACATAGCGCCTGCCCATGGAGGAAGCACCTGTCCCGCAGGGATGGGATTGGCCCTGTGAGAGTTTTCCATAGAGTGTGTTAAAGGGAGGAGAGTCACAGAAATGAGCTTTGAAACGCTGGTTGGCATCAGTGTTGACTTCAAAAAAGAAAATTCTAATCTCACATGTTTGTTTTTGAGAGTGGATGGAAATCACCTCTTACCTTATTTGAAAGACTCACGTACATGGTAGAGAAGCAATTTTTTTCTAGCTCTGGACTACATAAAGGAAAATATTATTATTTTGTTTTTATTACTATAACCATGCAAGTTCGTTTTAACATTTACTCTTTATTGTGTTGTATGAAGTACCTATGAAATGCAAGTATGTACTGCACGAAAATACCCATATTTCCAAAGAACATTACGTGGTGTGGCCCACAGTCTCTGCAGAAGCGTCATGAGTAACCTGCGCCTTTACACTTGACGATCCATTGGTGGCTGCTATGAAAAGTTTAACAGGTGAAGAAAAAAGAAAATAAAGCTAAAGTATGAATACACTTTTCCAAACATACACACGTGCAGCTTACAATGGAACCATATGGAATCAAGTCAAATGACGACATTTGCTGTAGTATCTATAAAATGTAGACTCTGCAATAAAAAGCCAAAGGCACATAAAAATATATTTTAACTTTAAAAATAACTTAGTTACAGTAACACTTTGCTTGTGTCTTACCAACATGTCGCCGACAGTCAAAAAATTCCACAAAGTCAACATATTATATAGAGATATATAAGAGCTACAAGAAAAATCCCCCAAGCCCATAAAGTTGTTCAAGTGTGAAAGCAGAGAAAAGTTTTAACACTGAAGAATCTGCTATGGTGAGCCCAAACGACATAATATAGAAAAGAGTCTAGAAAAAAGGCGTAGGTGTTAAATTAATTTTGACTTCCTCTTGCTCAGAAAATGCCAGAGTATTGTCAAGTTCCTCGCTGCGACTTGGCAGCCCCTCGTAGCCAGTGCCCATCCCAGCCGGCCAGGTTCCTCCGTGTCTACAAACAAAAGACGTGAGCTGAGCATCAGCCAGGCCTGCTGAAAACGAGTTCTGACCGACTCACTTCCTCTTTTTGCCAGGTCCTTTTTTTCCTTTAACTGTTTTTGCAAATAGGGTATAGAAGGTAAAAAAATACTTTGTAGGAACATTACTTTAGAAAACCCATCACATAACTGCAAATAGCCGCAGCGAAGCTCTTCTCTTCGACCATGGTTCATTGTTGTTGAGTGTTTTATTTGTTTGTTTGTTTGTTTGTTTGAGACCTTTTATTCCTCAGAGATTGCTGGAGGTGTCCTGTTACTTATTTTTATCCATGACATTCAGCACCTCATCCAAGAATGAGGGCCCGAGATCCAGCTGCAGGGAGAGGAGGGAGCCCGTGAGATCAGAGAGGGACTCCTCTGATTTAGTCTTTTCCTTGACGAGCTCGCACGGGGTGGGGTGGTCGAACATGTCCTCAGCTGGCCAGTCGGGGTACTGTTCGGAGAGGCTGGACGAGTGGCTGTCCCTGCCCTGGCTGGACTGCGACGCGGACCCGCTGGAGCCCCAGGAGACGTCTCCCCGGTGGACGGTCCCGTTCTCCAGCATTCTGCTTTTCTCAGGAGCCTTTTCCTCCATGACAGGCTCACAACTAAGCCTGGGCAGCTTGGCCGGCCCGAAGGACTCCTGTTTGGAATTAAATGTCACGGGCGACAATAAGGGCAACATGAGTGCTTGGGACCCCCCGATGGTTGGGAGGGAGATGGCGTTTTTGAGCACAGGGGAGGGCGTCTCTGTGAACACAGAGTCGGAGGTGCTGTTGGCCCGGAAGAACTCGTTATGCCCCGGGAACTGGCCCAGCTGAGCTTTCTCCTGGTTTCCAGGTAAAAGCTCGTAGTTTCCTTGGAGAAAGGAAATATCTCCAAAGACGTCGTGCTGGCCCTCTTTGCCGATGTGAATGGTGTGGCGAAAGTCTCCGAGGGGAGGACTGATCATATCAGGAGACAGAATGTCCCTCAGTTTAAATTTCTTTCCTTTCTTGTTATTGGCAGCTTTCAGGTAAATTGGGGTCTTGGCTGGCATTTTGGAATTTGAGAATGTCACTTCTGCAAGAGGGGAACGGGGCCACTTCCTTCACAGAGGCTCTGCGTTCCCGATGCTCCTTTCCGAGAGGGGCTGTCACATCATTTTCCTCAAGTAGCCTCACAAGTGGCCGTGGAGGCAGGTGAAGGATGACGGGGAGAGCCCTCCTGAAGTTACCGCCAAGTGGGGCTTTCAGAGGAGCCGGTGACTGCAGCCAGCCCCTGCCACGACCTGGAGAAACCTGGAAAAGGAACCAAGGCAGGTTAGAATCGCCTGACCCTTCAAGGCTCCCCTGGGCAGGGCCGGTTCCCACCTAAAGCCAAGCTTTGTGGCATCATTTCCCTCCATGAAGCAGGATAAAAACGTAAATCGTAACGAGAGCCTGCGAAGCTTAGTCTTACTTCAGGGAAAAAAGAGAAAAAAGAAAAGGAGAAAGAGATTGAAGAGCACCGAACCTATGTCATCAGTGCTTTTTAAACATGGCCATGGGCAGTATTTTCTAGGCATGCCTAAGATTTTAGTCCTTTCCCTTTACTAAAAGAGCTCTGACAGCACATGACCAGAGTGATCTCGGCTCCTTACACACAACTAAATTTGTCTTAAAATATATTTTCTCTTTTGTTTTGGCATTCACACTAGCAAGACCAATATCATGTTGTTGAGTTTTGTAGATAAATAAAGTTAGTGCAATAAAATGATTAGTCCTATAAGGAAAGGGCCTAGAAATACTTACTAAGTGCCAGTGACTATATTATATGCTAGTATCCAACAAAATCTTAATGAAATGCAGTCTTACAGATGAGAAAATTCTAAGATTCAAAATAAAAAGATAACAATAAAAAAAACCCCACTCTTTCTCAGTAACAGTCAGCCGATAAAGGAAGGAGCAGGAGCTGAGAACGTGCTGTGGCAGAAAGAACTGTGTGGTCCAGGGTGTCAGGGTTTGGAGACCTTCTGAGATGGAAGAAAAAGAACAAGGTGCTTCTTGTCAAAGAAAACAGTGTGATCATACAGAACAGGCTGGGTCTTCACTTGGAAATCCTCTTGAAACATTGACTGATGAGTTTGTATCCTCCCCCTGTGGCAGGGAGAACTCCCGGGGAACCCGTGATCTGCCCCCTGCCCCCCCGGGGTGTTAAAGCCTCTGTGGGCGGAACCGGTGATTTGCTTCTAGCCAACAGCACGTGGCAAAGGGGATGGGACGCCACACCTCCACCAGGTTCCATGATAAAAGATCCTATCTCAGTGAACTGGGGAGGGAGGTAGGGGGGACTCCCTTTATTGGTTTGAACTGTGCTGAGAGATGGCCTGTGGGGATGAATTCTGCCGATCACCTAAGGGAACCCGGGGCTGGATCTCTCCCCAACAGTTCACAGCCTGAGGAGACCAGCGAGCTAAGGCCCTGCTCACACTCCCGACCTGCAGAAACTGGGAGGCATTAAATGGGCAGTGCTGTAAGCCACGGCACTGATGGCAGTCTGACAACTAACCCAGCCTCCCTGCCCAGGCTGCATGACGAGATTAGAGGTGATGAGCTACAACAAGGTTTGGGGGCTCTCGTTTTACAGATGAGAAATCTCCATCCTTGAAAAGAACTCTCCGACTCTCTGGACACATCAGCTGACAAGGAACAGCTACACTCTGTCCCGCTGCAGGAATTCCTGCAATGGCTCTGCCGTGACCCATCCCTGGCCGCAAAGCAAGTAAATAAAGAAATGCTCCTCAGGGTGGGTTAGACAGTGGCTTGGAGAGCCACACTTGCTTTGTAGCAGCTGGAGGCTGGCTTATGTCAGCCCATTACTCTTTCCTTTCAGCATGAGTTTTAAATTCATTTCCCTGTAGCAGGTGGCGAGAACCGTGCCCCAGCACCCATGGGCAAGGTGACAAATGGCTCAGCTGGGGAAGCCACTTACACCCAGGCCTGAGAGAGCACAGACTGCTGAACTGGAGAGACACGTCCCCACAGGCTGCCGGCACAGGGAGGAGGCCAAGGCCAGCAGGAGAGGCTCTGCACCCACAGTGGGCTGACTCAAAACTGCCCAACAGCCCTTCAGCCACCATCTCTCCATTTCTCTCTACTCCCAACTAAGACACTGGCTTGGCCTCCCTGAAGTGCTGTGTTGTGGCCACATGGACAGGCCTGGGGGTCTACTTGCCCAATTCAGGTTAGAGATGCATGGAGACTGTTATTCAAAGAGGAGACACTTGATACTGAGAGAGAAGACGGGGAACTCAGTCCTAGGAAGACATTCTCTCTCATAGTTGTAACTCTCATGTGGGTCTCCCAGCAATAAAAGTTTAAACACTGGGTCTTCCTGCTTCCACCTCTGAAGTTCCTTCCCCTGTAAGTGCACCACAGCCTAGGGTCCCTGCCACCTGGGGGTGGGTGGCATTGCCTTCTGCCAGCCGGGCCCAGCGCCACAGCTGCCTGTAGGAGCAGCTGGGGAGCCTCCTGTGGAAGTTGGGAGCAGCCCTGAGAGACAGCTGCCCACTGGAGTGTCCTCCCACATACAGCCGAGAGGCTAGCTTCCATGGAAAGATATAGTGTGTCCACCCCCACTCAAGGGCATGCAAGGGCTGGCTGCCTGTGGTCAGCTGGTGCTGGCCAGGGTTATGCAAGGCCAGAAACTGAGGCAGGCCCTGTCCCATTATGTAGACAAATGAAAGGCTGTAACGTCGCAGCAGCCAGGATGCAGTTCTCTGCCTCTCTGAGGATCACTCACATTCACCGGTTACTTGAATGGCAGGGGACTAGGGACACAGGGGAGGGAAGGAAAGAAGGGGGAGAGAAAATGCCCGCTGGAGTGAGAATGTTCCAGGAGGAACACCCAGTCCGCTGTCCCTGCCTGGCCACGGGCACTGGCTTGCTCAGCCTGGTAGAAGCTGGGATTTAGGTCAGTGGCATGAAACCAAAGGTGGCAAGGATGTGACAAAATATAGAGGAAAAAAGTAGGGAAAAGGTTAGTAAGCATAGGCTCAATAAGCTGCTGGCAATGAGATTCTGGAGAGTGAGAGAGGAAAGAACAAATCTTAAAAAGCATTTTCTTTTCTTTCTACAAATATTTACATAGTGTTTACTGCATAATAGGGACATAGGCTTCTAGATTTTGGAAACAGTAATTTGTATTGAACCTTCTGCTCTGTGCCAGTGCTGAGTTCCCAAAACACATTGGATGCTTTTTAAAGAGGGAACCGGGGCAAAAATGTCAGCTCTGCAAGTTTAGAAGAGTGGATGTTTTTGATGTGACACAGGGGAAATAGCTGAGACCTGCGACCCTAACCCCTCGATCTTATCTGTTATCTTTCTCCTCCAGCTCAGGGCCAATCGGGCTTGATCCCGGGAGAGACAATCCAATGATATCTTACGCTGACTGCTTCCGCCCCTCCATCCTAAATACTCTGGGCTCCCTCGCTTATCAGGCAGCGGACCTGCATGCCTGCTTCCTTCCAAGCTGACTGCTCTCTCGGTATCTTCCCTGCCAAGGAGCCGTTTCTTCACGGGTAACAAAGTGGGAGGGCCTGGAGGGGGTATGTGTGTGTCCCCTGGGAGTCACCGACATCGAGTACCACAGTAAATGTTTATGTAGTGGGCACTGCCCCAACCTTTGACATGTACTAACTCACAAGAACTCACGAGGCCGCCACTGTTCACACCCCCATTTTACAGCTGATGCGCTGAGGTGCAGACATTGAGTCACTGTGCCAAGGCCATGTGGCAACCAGACGCTAAGCCAAATGGCCAGGCTCTAGAATGTGAAGTCTTGACACTTAATGAGCACACTCCCTGGGAATTCAGCCGGCTCACAAAGTATGAAGGGGATGCACTTCAAAGCTGTTTAAGACACAAGTGTGTGGTAAGACACTGGGTGATGAGGGTGTGGAGCAGGCCTTGCACCCAGTGATGGCATACGCTCAAACAGGTCTAACCTCCGTGGAAGGCTGTTGAGCAATACCTACCAAAACTGCAAGGCTCATGCCTTGGGCCCTGGAATTCCACCTGTGGGCATTTATGGAGATTTATTCAACATACGTATTTGGGAAATCATATATGTACAAAGTTATCAGTCCAGCACAGTTTATAACAGCCCAGAGCTGGAAAGAACCTGTCTACTGATATATATAAACTAAGGTGAATCCATACAAAAGAATATTACACAGGTCTAAAAACTGATGAAACAGATCCTTCTATGCTGACATAGAAAGACCTTCAAGGATATATATCTTAAAGGGAGAAAAGGTAGGTGCACAAGTGTGTTCACACATTTGTGAAGCACCTTTGGAAGCACACGAGTAACGTGATGGCCCCCAGGGCAGGAAGTGGACAGAGGGGGTGAGGGTGAGAGAGAAACTTGTCACTGTGTAGCCACTTATGTTTTTGGATTTTCCAGTGGATTAGTTACTTTCCAGTGAATTACTTACTTAAAAAAAAAAAGATAAAGGAATGGGTTGCTTAAGGCTCAGATTGCACTTTCTTGCAGAGCCAATGTTATACACTGGCCCAGAAAAGCCTATTGAACCCAGAAGTTACTAACAGAAGGACACTGGAGGAATGGCCACCACAGGGTGTCCACGTGGGGGAAAGCGCAGGCAGCCAGAGGCCCTGGGGCTTGGGCACACAGCTCATTGTTTGGAAGGTGGCCAGTGACACAAATAGGCAACATTTTATGGTGGAATGGTCCTAAATACTGCAACACAAAATCCTGTCCCTCCTTGATATTTTTGGAAAAGGAGACTTGGGCTCCAGGTGGCTGGTGGGTGACCACTGTGGAAGTAGATGGCGTAAGGGATGAATCAGAGTGGGACAGCCTGAGTCAGGAGGACATTCCAAGCCTTGGCTCTTTGCCCCTAAGGAAGGACATTTTTGTCATGGTGGTGGAGGGAGAAAAGGGAGAACTAAATTCGAAGGGGTTACAGGACAGAAGTGAATAGTTAGAGCAAAAGCTCATGAGCAAGCCCTCGTGGGTATTTCATAGGCCAAATAGAGAATCTCTAGCCTTTGTGTTTCACGTGGACTTGACCCCATCAGTAGCCATCAGGTACTGAGCCATCCTAGGGTGTGGCCCGCCCACACTCCGGACTCTCCTGTTCTCCAGCATTCTTTCATTGCCATAATTCCTCTACTCCTACTACCTTCCTCAAATTGAAATTAAAAAAAAAAAATAAAGGAAAGAAGGGGGGAGGGAGTGAGCAAGAAAGGGAAGGAGGGAGGGGAAAAGGAAAAGGCTGGGAAAGAAAGAAGAA